AGGAGTAATCTTGAGAAAAGGCCGACCTCAGTTGCATATCTAAAGCAAAGGATTTATAAACTTGTAGAGATTCACAGACGAGATTCTGGTCCCCTGATAAGATCATTTAAGGATACTGTGGGCCCAGATTTTGATTTCATAATTGATATCTTTTTAATGGACTGGCCACTCTATCCCCTGATCTCAATGAATTTGAAAATCTCTACCGCCTGATCTCAATGAATGTCAAAATTGGAAAGCAATAATTCGTCATTTGCCTCCTTTGAGCTTTGTCTGTCGTTAAAGCAGCATGTCGATTTCAGGAGGGACGACGAACCAATGGTCTGATGTTTCTTGTGATATCGTTCCAAATATAACGAATCAGAGGATGTAAAATGCTACTGTAAAATTAAGGAGGCGTGGCAATCTGAAGATTTTTGCCATCGGAGTAACACCAAGAGAACGCTCCTGAACTTTCGACTAGAGACCTACGATGCTCTTGAGCTCTCGACTACAGAGAACTTCGTTAACAGACTCCTCCCTTTACGAGGACTATAATTCATTTCTAATACCTATCTATGCTATGTTTGAGTTTAAAATGCAGTACTAGTACTCAACTTTGCAAACTTACCCAATCATTATAAGGAGACAGATACGCTACTTGCAGACACTCAACTCAGGCTAACCTGAAAGTTACTCCCACACTAGTGACCAAAATCCCCCAAGATCTATAAAATGTTTAGTAGATATTAATTAAATCACTTTAAAAATTTGTTTCTTTTCAATGGTCGAAATGCGTGTTATTTAAAGGCGGAATCGTGCTTGTTTGAAATAATTTAAAGCTACAGAATTTCCGTATTTTTACAATAAGTACATAAAATGAACACGTTTCCTAGATGAATGGTTTTCATGGAATATACATTTAAAATTACATTCGTGAAATTAAGTAAATTCTTAGCTTTATATAAATAAGAGCTTTTCACGTAGATTTACTTCATTTAAGGTAATTATATCAAATTATATTAAATAAACTATAATGCGCTTGCTTGCTATTTGTTAAAGGGTTTGAAATTAAAATTCTTAAAAATTAAAATTAAAATCAGAGCTTCTGAGTGGGTTCGTATTCACTTCTAGGTGTTTATGAAATTTTAAAGAACATCAGTGCGCCTCATCAATGCGAATGCGCTTCGGCAGCTTATTGGCATAGTTACAATTCTATTGATTAGTTTTTAAATAAAACTGATAATAAATTATTTATTGATATAAAGCTCTATAATGTAATAAGGATGAAATCATATAAAATAAACACAAGGGAAATATACAAAAATTTATTAAATATGCGTTTTAAATAAATAATAGTTTTTAAATGCATACATTTTTCATGCCTTAAGGACAATATAGAAAGGACAAACTCAGGAACACACGAAAACACAAATAAAAACCCATTAATGTTACACCGAATTAAAAAAAAATCTGAAAGCTTTCAGATTTTATATGACGCCCAAAGGGGGATTTTTTAACGTGTTACCTTTATTTATTAAATATGTTTTTCATACTTAAACAATAAAATTCAATTCAACAGCAATATCGCAAAATGCTTTAAATGAGCATATCTTTAGAATTTCCAATACACAGTCTCGCATGCTAGAGATAAAAATGTTTTTTTTTTTCTTACAGTGTTGCTATTGCTTGCTTCAAAATCTTTGAGTTTCTTAATCAAATACTCATAAATTCTATACAAATTATTAAATAGATGATAAAAAAATTCAAAATTCCAAACTTGGGCTTTCAGATGCCCATATACGACTAGATATGTACGCTATTCAAAATTGGATGGATGTCTCTAGGTACCGTTGTTTTATCACAGTGCAAAAAACATATTTACATTTATGCAAATTCTTCATTATTTAATTTCTTCAAATATAACAGTGGTAACAAATATTCTGTGGCAACAACTTGAAAAGTGAAACGGGCATTTAAAGTTTTCGAAGCAAAATGCCAAAACGAAATTAACAGCCTTTCTGGGCTAAAAAAAGAAAAAATGTGATGTTTACACAACATGACTTCTTTGTACGGAATATTAAATTATACGTATTTTTTCCTGTATTTCATATAAACGTAATGAATTAAATTAAATCTAATACGTCGATAGCGCGTAAACCACAATAGAATAGATGCACGCTTTAAAATTCACTACATTTATTTACCATACTGATACTCTGGCGCTAAGTTCATTTAACTGCGTTACATCTCATTCGCTTTATAATTCAGAATGCAAAAATATTATATCATCTGAAAAATTATATGTTCTATTCAAATACTATAATAAATCTAAAACGAAGTATAAACGAAATTAAACAAATAAAAGTAAACAGTTTATCACAGACAATTCAACGCTCTTATCTAATGAGCATGCGCTACACGTAAACATTCTCCGAAACAGACTGGCGACAGTATTTTCTGTTAATATGAAACACTTATTCCTCGAATTTCATTAAAGATGTATCTCTCATTAAATTTATTCTATTTTCACTTCGCGGCAAGACAAAAATAATAAAAACACAAAATAACTTTAGTAAAAATTTAAAGATATAGAAAAACATAAAACACAAAATACACTTAAAAAAAAAAACAATTTCTACAATTTAAATTACAGTTTCTACGCAAAAACGCGGTCAAGAAGACAAATTTTCAGTATACAAAACTGTTTACTTTTGGTCCCACTTGGCAAAAAGACATTGAAGGCGTTGAAACTGACTTAGTTTGTTGTGGACGCTATGTTGAGTCAATATATGAGATAATTTAATAACTTGAATGATAATTCCAGAATGGATTAAGCATAATTTAATTCGCAATAATAAAAGAAGACGCTACTTTGAGGTTGCAAAGCTTAATTTCTCTGGATTGGCAACAAATCCACTATTCTTCTAAGTTTCAAATGTAAACAAATATGGCTGCTATGGCAAAAAATTAGGCTTAGCCACACTTAAACAATTTTTAAATTGTTGATAATTCTAGAACTATAACATGCAGGTTAATTAAAGGCATATAAACCGGAACTGGAAGATACGAACAACATAGTTCAATCATTTTTAAAGCAAAAAAAGGCTCACTTTACAAATATATAAGAATAAAGAACTGAGCTCGCTGATCGAGTAACAGAGTAGATATATACATATATATATTTAAATATATTTGGTGCGTCCGACTGCAACCAAAATAGGAGGTGCACATTTACATGTTATACCAGTCCTATATACGAAATTTTAACTTTCTCAGTTTACTCGTTTTTGAGGTATTCGAGATACATGCATGCGTACGTACAGACGTCACAAAAAATGTCTTCAGAATCCATTTTAAATCAGTTTTATATTTTTTTGGGGAAAAAGAGTCCTTTATTCTGTCCTTACGTCTAGATGTCACGCAAAATCATCGTTAAATTTTATTTGATAGTGGTCAAAATGGATATTTTCGTTGAAATATGATACCGGAATTTTTTTGCATTTACAATACCTCCTTGTTATTTCGTACAAGGAAGTAAAAGGTTGTTACCGAACCAACATTATTGAATTTTCCCTCTTCTTATTTCGCGTAAGGAGGTTTTAGTCAATTGAGTAATTCACCACTGAAAACTAGAAAAATTTGACTATTTTTGAACGAGGTGATTAAACTCAGTTAAGGAATTTTATGCTGAATATTTAAAAATTACATCAATAGCACATCTAGCATAGGCATCAAATTAATTGAAAGCGAAATTTTGCTCAATTAAAATTTGCAATTCCGTTTCTGAAAACTTGCTTATATTTGTAAAAAAAATAACAATAGTAAGAAAGATAATAAAACATAAATTTACTATACCGTTTTTTTTTCAAATCTCTTGTTCATATCCTTAGTCCAGTATTTATATCCAAGTTACTTATGTCCAGTTATTTGTGTTACGATTATGTTATACTGTATGTTATAAAAAATATAAGAAGGTTGATGAAGAATTTTTTTTTCTTAAAAGCGATCGATGCAAAGAAAGTTTTAAGATCCCTCATTTAAGTGTAAGATATGTTATAGACTTATCAGTCTTTATTTAAAAGCTTGGATTGAATTATTCGGTTATGAAAAATTCACTAAACACACTAATAATACTAATATCCCGTTTTACCTTCGATATCAGAAGAATTATGATGGAAAATGATCAGGTAGAGGTTAGATAATAATCAGGTAGAGGTTCAACTGCACATCCTCCCACCTAAGTTAATATTTTTACCTCAAAATTTTAACTTACAAAAGAAAATTGTGAATATTTTATAAGTTACAAAAAGAAAATTGTGAATATTTTATAAGTTACAAAAAGAAAATTATAAGTAGTTCAGAAGTCCAGTCTCTTAGGTACTTTGATTGTACGACCTGCTCTAGTCTTTTGAATCTGAGGTTCAAGTCCAGACACGTTATCAAAGAAAGAATTGGCACAGGTTTCACCTCCCACCTTCGCGGTTGAAAATTTCCCAATAATGGGATCATCGTTGGAAACTTCAAGTGGATACAATCTTTGAATTGGTCTTAGCAAGTGTCCATTAGCTGTTTTAAGCTTGACAAGTCTTGTAATTCCATCTTTTCCTGGAAGAATCTGAATTATTTTACCTAATGGCCAATTGATTCGCTTGGTGTTATCACTTCCTATCAATACAATATCACCAATATTCACTTTCACAGATTTTTTGTCTCCTGCTTTTTGAATATGTGCTCCTACATATTCAGACCTAAACCTGTTTCTCAAATCCTTTTTCAAGTTTTCTCTATATTTGACTCGCTTATTAAGACTTTTATGCCCAATGTCATCAAGATATGGAACACCACTTATTTGATTATCTTGCAGAAATAGAGATGGACTTAAAGGCATTAAAGTAGCATCACTTTCAGTTACATATGTCAATGGACGGGAATTAATTACTGCTTCACAGTCACAGAGAGTCGTTTTCGTTTCTTCAGAAGTTAGTGAAGCTCTTCCTAATACTCGTCTCAGCAATTTCTTAAGAATTCCTACCAGCCTCCCCACCTCTCTCCCACCTCTCCCACCAGCCTCCCCACCAGGAAGCAGTTGGGGGGTTGAACTTCCACTGAATTGGTGGTATAGATGTGTCTTCAGTGATTTGCTTCCAGTTTAAGTCTTGAAGTACATTTGAAGCACCAACAAAATTGGTTCCGTTGTCACAGTATATGATTCTGCTCCGTCCTCTACGAGCTATAAATCTTACAAGAGCTAGTAGAAAACTCTCAGTAGACATCGATTCAACCAACTCTAAATGGACTGCCCTATAAATGGCGCAGGTGAATAAACAAATCCAAGATTTCTTGTTGCCTTTCAGGATTACTGGTCGCGCAAGATCAACTCCACAGATTTCAAATACAGCTGCTTCTCGTAATCTATCTTCTGGAGGAGCCCCAGTACAAGTTTCTAGGTTCTTTGCAGAAAATCTTCTACACCCGGTGCATTGATTGATGATAGATCTACAGTTTACGAGCATTCAGAATCTGAAAATCCTGTCTTCGTAGAAATATTGATCAAAATTTGAGTACCAGCAGTGTGCATTTTTCTCATGATAGTCACGCACTAGTCTCTTGACAAACCTCATGATTGGATGGAAGAATAGCTGGCGTTTTTAAAAAGTTCTTCTGTATCCTCACGAAAAGGTAAGTTTAGGTTTTCAGTCTGAAGGACTTCCACTTTTCATCCTTGAATACTCCTAAAGTTCTTTAATTTCTCATACCTTTTCATTCACAAAACAATCTTCTTGAACCATTTTGATCAATAACTTCTCAGCCTCAAAAATTTCATCAGAATCAAGGTTTCCATGCTTTCTCACTGTTTTTCAGTTCGACAATTGGAGGTGAATCTTAGGATCCAGGCAATTAGATTAACTATCCTTTTGTATTGGGAAAAAATATCTGTAATACCAGTCTCTCTTGGTAAACCAAGCATGCAGAAAACTAAACATTTAGTTACAGAAGAAACTATGCTCTTTTCTTTTTCTCTAACAATCTCAGTCTCATCTAAATTTAAGTCACCTTTAGGCCAATCTTCTTCAGGCAAGTAAAGCCAACTTTGACCTAACCACCACTGAGATTTCAATAAGGAGATAGCTGAACAACCTCTACTCGGAAGATCAGCTGGATTCATGGAACCAGGAATATGTCTCCAAGAATCATTATTTGTTAGTCTTCTTATTTCCTTCACCCTATTCTGGACAAATACACTCCAGGCTTCTTCTCTCGTTATCCATGCTAAAACAGTATAAGAATCAGTCCAGAAGTAAACTTCTTCACCCTGTATCTCAGACAAAATTGAGGACGAAAGGCGAGACGCTATAGTAGCTGCAAGTAATTCGAATCTCGCGATAGCAGTTTCTTCTTTTCCAGTTGGTGTACTCTACTCCTGGCTTGTATCAGTTGTACTTTAGTAGAATCAAAAGTTTTTATGCGAATGAAAGCAGCCACGGCATAAGCATGCTTACTGGCATCACAGAAAATATGTACTGAAGTATTTTCACTCGTACTCTTTGAACCAAAATATCTTGGAAAATGGATCTTTTCCAGATAGTCAATATCCTTCAACAATTTTAAAAATGTAGTTCTCGTACAGGTATCAACTTCTTCATCTCATGTTATCTTCTGCTTCCAAGTTTCTTGAAGTAATAACTTAGGGATAAGGATAACAGGACAACATATACCAAGAGGATCAACAATCTATGAGCTGTAGATAAGATTAAGCGCTTAGTCACTTTTTCAAAACATAACTCTTTTATACTACTAGTATTTATTCTTAGAGTGTCAGATTTTTTATTCCATATTAAACCGAGCACATTTGTATCAACAGAAGCATCAGTATTAATATCATTGAACTCCCACCCTCTAAGCTCAAATTTTCTCTCAGCCATTACTTCAGTTGATACACTAATAAAATAATTGAGTTCTTCTTCATTTTTAACACAACTGACACAATTGTCAACATAAAAACTATGCATAAGTTTTTGAATGACACCTTTCGTATATAAGGATTCACCGGTTTCTATTTTCTCTAAAACAGTTTGTAAGTGAAGCTGAATAGTAGAGTTTAGAAGAAAAGGGCTACTTGCTACACCAAAAACTACACGGCAGCGCCTGTATACTTTCAGTTGACCATCACTATCAAGCCATAAGAACCGCAAAAAGTCTCTATCAGTAGGTGAAACACTTATTTGAAGAAAGGCTCTTCGTATATCAGCAATAACATCAATCTTTTCTTTTCGAAAGCGTGTTAAAATACTCGGAAGCTGTTCAATTAGATTTGGGCCTTTTTCTAAACAGTCATTAAGACTAGGAAATCCTTTTACTTTGGCCGAAGCATCAATTACCGGTCGGAGTTTTGTAGTGCTATTCTTTTTGATAACTTCTCGATGAGGAAGGTAAAGAACTTGCCCTTGATAATTTTTATCAGTCTCTTCAATTACTCCCTCTTCTAGCCATTCCTTGAAAACATCTTCATAAGCTTCATAATTGGACTCGATTTTAAGGCGTTTAACAGTTTTGTTCAGTCTTCTCTCGGCTAAGTCAAAATAGTCTGTTAATGGTGGATGATATTCCAACCAGGGCAAATCAACCTCGAAACGATCATCGACTATACGAACTGTATTTAGAAAATGTAACCGAGCAGCTTCTTGTAGTTCAGTCTGGTTTTTCTTGACTGATGGGTCAGTGATCCCAAGTGTGTCCAAAGTCCATAGATCTGTTATGGTCTCCACAGTAGATAACAAGGATGTAACTAAGAACGATGATGAATACTCATTTTTCGAAGTATTCGGCATTCCTCCCATAACTGACTATCCAAATTTGGTCTCAATAGCTACGAGACCACAAGGCAACTCACGACGACCACCTGTCATGATTTTTCCAGCTACATCATCCCCAATAAGAATCTCAATAGGATTTTGACAATCATCCACAATATTTATATTACAGGCTGCTAACTCTTTCAGACAAAGCTTGTTGACAGTAGGTGGCACTGACTTACAAATAATTTGTTGACTAAGAACTTTAAAGTTGCAATTATAATTCCCATGCACACTCGATAAATATAAAGTGTATACATCATGCTTGCATATCCCTGAGTCCTTCCCTCCAAATAAAGAGTGTTGTAAATATTCACAACTCTGAGGTTCATAGTTCATTTCTTTAGCTGTACTTCTTAATAAATATGATCGCTGTGAAGCAGTATCGATAACAGCTCTTGCGACGCGTTTTTTCCCATTACTTCTAATTATAACTTTGAATGTTTGAAGCATTATTTCCGGAGTAAAAGTTAAATTTGAAAGAGATTGATCCACTTCAGCACTAATCTCAGTTTTCTTTTCAACTTCAGGTGATTCTTCGTTTTTTGACATAGTTATTTGGTGCATCTTTCTACACGGAAAAATATGGTGTTTTTTACCACAACACAAGCAACCAGCTTTCAAGTTACAATCCTTGACTGAATGTCCAGATTTCAAACATAAAAAACACTTGTGAGATTGTTGAACCAGTGACTCCCTCTGCCTTAAAGGTATTTTTCTTACTTTTAGACAGTCTCCAGAAAAATGTGAATTAGAACAGAATATGCACTGTTTTGATACTTGAGATGAAGTTAGAAGGTCTGTTGCACTAGGTATATTTGAAAACTTTCTACTCTTACATTCGTTCTCTATTACCTTTTTCTCATAGGAAAGATTATGTTTTACTTCTGCTTTTGGTTTCGATGTGTTGAAACTTTGAGAGGCTAAAAAAGTGTTCTTCAGCTTCGACTTCGGCTTGTAAAAATTCTAAAATACATTCTAAATCACTTTTCTCAATTATAGTTTTACTTTCGACTGAATCATCTAAATTCACTTCTCGACTTCTACGATGAGCAGATCTATAGCGCTGCCAAACAACAAGAGTTTCTTCGGGTAATGATGATTCAACTAGTGGAAAAAGCATTGCAGCATATTTTTCCCTAGTAACACCTAATAATTCAAGTGGTCGCAGTTTACTCTCAAGTTGATCGAACAATTTTCTTAATGAATTTTTAGAAGTGTTCTGTTTTTGAAGAACTAATACTAATAAGTCTCTGACATATACCTGAATCAATAGTTCCTCTCTGCCGAAATGCATTTTCAGCTGTTTTAAAGCTTTTTCGTAACTATTACCCCCTAGGGGATAGCTCTTAATTAATTCTTCAGCAGGACTGTTTTTTTCCATTGCTTGAGATAAATACGAAAATTTATCGTGAAAATCGATATTAATGTCCTCATCAATTTTTTGAAACTGACTCCAAAAGTATAGCCAATTTCGTACACTAACCGTCAAACGTAGGTAATTTTATTTTTGGGTAACGTAATAAAGTGTTCGGCTGCGAAACAATGTTCAAATTTTCATTTTTTAAGAAGATAATTGTTCACTCACTATGTGTTTCTAGCTTCTGTTTTAAAGATCTCCATCGATCAATATACATTTCTGACTTCATCTACCGCTTTCTCTATTTCGGTATCGGAAGTATTTTCAGAATACAACAAATGTTTATATTTCTCTTCACATGCTATCATTAATAAAGCTTTCTCTTCAATTAGCTTTAATTTATTAATTTTATCAGCACGATTTAATTTGATTTCTTCCTCATCAAAAGTATTACATGCTCGAGTAAACAACCTTCTAAGTTGCTTTCTATCTTTCAAAACAATATCCATAATGCACAAAGAATAAAAGAAAATATAAAAATATTTTTTCACTTACTCTTAAAAATGCAGCCGTAGTCCTGTCACGGACGCCAGATATCCCGTTTTACCTTCGATATCAGAAGAATTATGATGGAAAATGAGTATACAATCAATTATCCAATGAAAGACATCTCGTCACAACACAAACAGTTTAATATTACAATTCTATTTACAAGTCTAATTAAGTGTTAGTTTTAGCTTTGACACCTCAAAGCAATACTCAGAACATAAATGGCATAAAATATTACTCATCAGTTTTTAAATACTCATGAAAAACCTCTCAAAAAGTTATTATTCTCATTACTTAAAACGAAAGTAAACAATAGAACAAACTCGAAAACGTAGATGTAAAAACTCAACTGTTGCCAATCGCGATTGACTAAATTACATCAAAATAAAGATAATAATCAGGTAGAGGTTCAACTTCACAACTAAACTGTCTACGACGAGAGATTTCTTCATGAAAGAGTTTCTGAAGGAAAATGGCTTGTATTTATGATATACATGGGCTTCGCCTAAAAGAATATAAGTAAATAGCAAAATAAGTGAATGTAATTAATTGCAATTAAAGATAAAAATAAATATACAAAACCGAAATAAGCAGCAAATTAATATGGCTGTAAAAATATAAGATTCAGATTTACTTATTCTAAATGCTTGAAGTCAAAATATCCTATACTTTAAAATACTTTTTTATATATATTTATCTCTGAAATCAAAACTTGGTATATGCATTTAGCCATGTGCAGTTTATATACGTC